AAGTGGGGATAATGAGTAAAAGGGGGCAAGAACAATTGAAGGAGCAATTATAGGATTTATCAAGGCTTTCATCTACAAAGCAACAGTTTGAATAATTTATTATCTGTCATTAGACACTTCAAAGAAAAGAGTGATTTCTGTAATTAAAATTCTGATTATTGAAGCCTGTCAAAATTTAGGTTTAAATTCATTCACAGCATATCTGTATGACCAAACTGTCAATAACACTTGAAGTATAAGCACTGGAGTTTTTATAAAAATAATAAATAACAGTGAAATTGTGTGGAATTTAGAACAGACTTGTCTATTATTTCATATCAGCTGATAATATAGTGATATCAATTTGTGGTATAACTTTGAAAGTAGAAAGCATAATAATTTGTAATTTTGAGAAAAAGTGAATTATTTGAGAAAATGGATTTATTACCATCAGTTGATTTACTTAGAGACCATCTTGTGGCACATGACCGTGCTGTACGGGAAATTATTGCATTAGGTAAGAGATTTTCATTCATCTTTTTTTATCACAACATGTAAATATTTAATATAGAAATTATTGCAAAACATAAGGGAAATCTATCTCTCTTTTCTTAACAATGTCTAATTTAATACGGGATGAGATTATCTTCAAATGAAATGATTAACCTGAAATGCTGATGTTTAAAAAATTATTACAAATATTTTTTTATTTCATTACATTTTAAATTGAAATGACGTATTAAAAAGTGATTAGATTATATACTTAGAAAATTTTTAAATAAAATCCCTACAAAAATCTTTTTGTACATGTATTTATTGAATGTAATAAATATTACAGTCTGACTTTAAATGAACTAATAAATAAATCAAATTTTCATATCAAAATATTTTTAATTGCATGTACACAAATTGTATAATATTATTATTGTTGTCATTTCAAAATTTGGTCATTACCTGTACTTAAATTAACAAAAACATTAACTTAAATTAATACATATACAAAACATAATTATATATCTTTTTATTAATGAAAAATTCTGTAAACCTTCAAAATTAAATAAAAATATCATATTATAATTACAATACAAGATTTTCTTTAGTTTATTTCAAGTCTAGACTGATAAAACGCAGTTGCTTATACAAAATAAAGAATGTCTTACAGTTTTGCGGACGAGCCTCTATTTGTAAATAAAGAATTCTCAGTAAATTTTTAACAACAATTCTATTTTAAACAGCAATTGTAAATAAACCTGTATACTTTGTTCTTCCATTTGTAGACTAACTGTATTCATAAATTGTTGTTTTCATACTTTTCACATATTTAAATGGTAAACAGCTGAAATATTTATATGAATTTTTTTGTAAGAATTTATCAACAATGAAATTATATTGGAACTACAATTTTATGATAGATGTCATGCAGAATGTTTCTGAAGACAGTCATAAAGGAATAACATGATTACAAAATAGTAATCTGCTATTTTTAACCTTAAAGCAATGATTTCTTGCAAGGCAATTTACATCCATATTTATTTGATACAGGGATTCTGGAAGTATTATTTTTCAAAATTCAAGCAATAATATAATATATTTGGGCAGCAGATATACTGCTTTAGTTTATACATTATGTACATTTTTGTATAATGCTGCAATGAAACTATAAATATACATAAATTGAAACAATATTTTGAATAAATGACATCAAGTACATGTACACCTGCCAACCAGTCATCATGCTAGCTGCTTGTACTGATTGTACATTAAAAATAAGAACACATTTTCTTGACATTGTCAAAATTTTAACACATTATTATATGGATGGAAGAATTTAGATTTCTTAAATAGATCTAGAACTAAAAAATATATGTAGATTTTTCAGTAAAATTGCCAGTGATTAGTTAATCAGATATTAAATATTATATTTTCTCAAAAATGCATCATATTTCTTATAATGAAACTTTTATGCAAACTATTCAACTTTAGAGAAACCCTTGCAATTACACATACATTTACAAATTTACAAAAGAAATGAAATAATCACACACATATGTTATATATTTTATATTCATTATTGATATAAATGAATCATAAATTAATTGAAAATGGAACTTTTATACACAATGTACAGGGCCGGCAAAATCTAATTTTGACTAACTTATCTGAAGCATTTATTAACTTGTTTATGATATTTACATAGTTAATTCTTGAAAATATATGGGACAACATGGCCAATACGGAAAATTGATTTTTGCCGGCCCTAATGTATGTCTTCAGTTTAAAATTGTTCTTGAAAAATCCGAAGATTGACAAGTGTTTTGAACGAGTAAGAATTCCTACTTTCACAGCGATATGTTAAAGGTGTATGCTGGAGATATAGCAAAATTAAAACTACATAATAGAATAGGTTTAATCTTTGTATGATCATAAAGACATGTTAATACAAACATTTGCACAAATAAATTGTGACCAACCTTGTTTATGAGTTATCTTCTCTTGAGTTTGAAAATTTTGTTTTTTTCAAGGCAGATAATTCATAATCAAGGTAAGCAAGGTCTAAATTGTTCTCTCTAATGCAGCAATACTTCAAGAGTAGTTTATTTTTTCTTTATTACTTAAAGCTTTGCCAATTTTATTTTGAATTTCAGTCTTTATGTATTTTAACTGATTGAAGGAACAAAAATGTTTTATGGAATTCTACGAAATTTTGTATTGTGACCAAGAATAAAATAAAATGAAAACAAATCTATAGTTAAAAAAATGTGAAGAAGATTTATATAGGAGTTATCTGCCCTTGAAATGACTGGGGAAAATTTAAGGGCAGGCAAAACTACAAATTCTATAAGTTTTGATTCTGTTGAAATATAAAGCATAAGCAGGAGAATGGAATGATGTTCAACAATATAATATACCTATATGAAATATTCAAGATCTTGCAAGATTTAAATTTTCATAACATTTTATTTCATTATTTCAGATCAGTACATAGAGCAGATGAGTGAACAAACTTTCCTCTCAGCCATGGGTGAATGTATGAACACAACCTTCCAGAAAATGATCAGAATCTCTGTCGCCGAAGGCTTGAAGAGAATGTACAAAGAATACCGTCTCCAAAAATGGATCAAAGTTCAGGAGATGGCTAAGACTGTAAGAAGGGTTCTTGAAGCTGACATTGCTACAGAAGGCTCGGTTCCACAACCTAACCAAGATCAGCAGCTTGTTCCCGTGCACAACAATCAGGTACCCTACTGGCAAGGTCAGAACTTGAACTTACAGATGCCTCTACAAGAAAGTCACAACTGGCAACCTACTAATTTCATGCAGCAGGTTGTATCCCCTCCTCATGGACCTTACATTCAAATCATTTCACCAATTCAGACACCAGACAGGCTTGAGAACACTGATAACGCTATTGTAAGTAGATATCATGTGACTGGTGCAACCCCTGAAGAATTCCATCAGTTTTCTGCTATCACTTTTAGTCCAATTGAGAATCATCCCGTTTCTAGACAGCTTTTTGAAAATGAGAGAGATGTAGTTAGTGAAGACTGTGACATTTCTAGTGACAACCAGCATCAAGTGAATGTATCTACTCCACAACCATTGACTGGTTCTAGTGTTTCTGATCAACAAGTTATTGAAAATGTGCACATTCAGAGTTCAGGTGAGAACCAGCCTATGATTAATTCATATCCCATGATTCCACAGGAACAGCAATATTTCAATGAGCATCTGGAGGACTCTGATGAAGAAATGGACTGGGATAGTGATAATAGTTATAATGATTCAGAGGAAAGTTTAGCAGGTGTGTTGTTTGCTGCGGAACACTTGTTACCAGATGAGCAGGCTGTAAGACTGGACGTTGAGATGGGTGATATGGGAATTGGTCACATGGTGTTTGATCGTGTATCTGCTACATGGTTTACAGCCCACTGTGAGTTTTACAGGGCCAACTAGACAGAACAATATTTACTATATGTGTGTATAGTTATATATGTAATATACAGAACAATAAAAAAAGTGTTACATTTCATGTATAGGAACAAAATTAATAACTTTCCATTAATTCATGCAAAAATTGTATTTTTGTTACTTTAGATTTTAATGACTTAATTTAATTCAAATATTTTGGATCTATTTAGGTAAAAAAAATGTATTTTATAACTTAGATGGTAATGAGTTATTTTAAGTAAGTAAGGCACTAAAATAAAAAAAAATTACCTAGATTTTACTTGTACCAATATTTAATATAATGCAATCCTTAAACTATTGGCAAGACTTTTATTTTAAATTCAAGAAAATTAAATTTATTTATCTTTTAATGCAATATTTTTCTAGTTAATAATACAATGTACAAAGAAAATAGGCTATTGTTGTTTACAGTAAACATTGATATCTGTATAATGTTAGTTTCATAATTAATACCAAATGTGCTATATTATTTCATATTGTTAAATGATATAATATATTGAAAAATAAATTATATGTTAAATTACTTATTTAGTTCTTTTTTACTGCAGTAAGTTGGCCAGCCAAATTTAAGCTAAGATACAAAAAAGTTACCAGTGATAGCAACAAAATTTGTTGACATACCAACATGGAGGTTTCAAAAATGTTTGAAATCGTTTTTACATTTTACTGTTAAAGACGTCCCAACCCCCATAACTACAATTAATACATGGATCTCAATTTAAAGAATATTAAAGAATAGTGATTTATAAGTATTTAGGTCCTTCATTAAATATTCATTTACAGGCCAGAAAACTGAAAGATAGCAGTGCAACATAATTTAATGCAAATGCTTCCTTGACTTAAAGACAGAGTTGTGATTGTTTGGAGATGGGGTTATTTGCCTATATTTATAACTTTGGATCAATTGTGTGTTACACAATCAACCCAAAAAAAGATCACAAACATAAACATAACAGTAACAAATTAGGTCAGCAATTTTCCAATCCAAGTTCTCACAGGATGCGTCATATACCCATATACATTACAAGTTTGATGATATTGCAAGTACTTACATAAACTGTGATTTGCCTCAGTGTAGGACCATCAGCTTTTATCTGGCCAAATGTATTCAGGTTATCTTCAGGCGTATAGTAAAACTGGGCACCGGCTAATACAACAGATGGTAGCTGTCTACGAGTCTCTTTATCAATAGCAAAATGTTCTCCTATACTGTCCCAGAAAACTGAAAACAAAATGAGCCGTGTCATGACAAAACCAACATAGTGGGTTTGCGACCAGCATGGATCCAGACCAGCCTGCACATCAGCGCAGTCTGATTAGGATCCATGCTGTTCGATATCAGTGTCTCTACTTGTAATAGGGTTTGTAAGCGAACAGCATGGATCCTGATCAGACTTGGCGGATGCGCAGGCTGATCTGGATCCATGCTGGTCGCAAACAAACTATGTTGGTTTTGTCGTGACGCGGCTCAAATGTGCTTACAAAACCAAACCTTCTTTTCATGAATCCAAACTTTGATCAAATTCAAAACTGTATTCAGGGTTCTCAATAACTTGTATGTCAGCAGGCCAAATTTGTAATGAAGGAGGCCTTTTAGGGAGGGGGGGGGGGCAGGAGCATGCCCCCTAGATTTTTTTTTAATTAAGCCCTTGAATTCCTACAAAATCTTATACTAGAACTGCTGGTTCCAAAAGTCTTGAGTCATTACCACAAGTATAGAGCAAGATCAGCTTGCATATCAGTGCAATTAGACCAGACTCTATAATGTTGGTTGTTCAGTTTTTATACTTTGATTTTGAAACCACTTAAAACTTCAAATCAGCTCAATTCAAATCATGCCAAATCCAGAAGATCATTACACAAATTCAGCAAGCTAAGGCTAAAGACCTATGATATCTATTACTGAAATAAGAGGTGAAAAGAAGGGCCAGGTCTGGCTCTATTCTGATGGAATTATCACTGTTAGCATTTGAGAGGTTAACCTTTAACCTGCTGAATTTATTAAATGGACTTTTCCTGCTTTCATTTTTTCATTATCAATTTGGGGATATGAAGATGAAGATATTAAGTTACACAGCCATTAAAAAATACAGAGCATGGTCAGACTACCTGGATGCGCATCCTGTCCTGGCTGTATAATGCTGGTTATGGCTTATCATTATCTGTTCGAGTAGTGTAAAGTTTGATTTAAGGTTTTATACATTTTAGACCTTACCTATAGAATTCTTGTTTTCAGCCATCTCCTTAATAAATATATCTGTAGCACCAGCTGGTATCTCTACAATGGTTGAATAGCCTGAAAATAAACCATAGGCAATTATTATGTTTGTTATTAACTTAATATCAAACTATACTAGACCATTGAAATAGGTTAGGTGATATGTATACAATATAAAAATCAGACAAATTTATTTGTATTGTAAAATACAATATATCAAAATATTAAAATAAAAGAAGAACTGGTAGAAGAAAACCTAAGGTGCCCTTTTGTGAATTATTTCATGCATGAATGGGCACATGAGTAGAAACACAGACATAATGTTATATAAGCTTAGCTGTACAGCTTCCTCAAATGAAAGAATCTAATGTAGAAATAAACATACATGTACAATAAAAATAAACATACATATACAATAATATCTTACCAGGGGGAAGCTGCATCTCTGCAAATATACCATTGACATCTCCAGTCTGAGTACATGTGGAGTTATCTCCCCCACATATCCCACATACATCCACAACCCTACGAGAATCAATCTTCTTGTCACATCCAATAGTCTGTAATAATAATACTTAGTCTAAACATGTTTAAATAAGCTTTGTGATGTGCATGCTGCAATTGCTTTTATATCAATATTACTTTCCAGTCCAGAAACAGGAAGTCCTGTAATCGTGATGAATTATGGATGTGACCCTATAGTTGGGCTTGAACTTGCAATCCTTAAGTCAAGAGGAAGACAGCATATCCTCTAGAGCTCAAATACCCCAATAACATGACGTCATTCATAACACATCTGAATATGGAATACTTACATAATTATGTCAAGTTAATACTAGAACTTGTCACATTTAGTGCCGAAAACCCCTGACATGCGCTTGTCAGAAAACATGCTTTTAAGTTTATAATTTTGCACATATGGAGAATGCAGTAGGTCATAGGTTTTTTTTCAAATGTTTTTGAATTAAAAATATCAGTCACTTAAATGTGAAACTAAAAATGGTTTAGTTGATTACCTGGAACAGAACAAGAGAGTATTGGCTACTACAAAATATACTGGTTGGAGACCATAAACTGGACACTTTTGGAACATTTTTCCGAACAGATTTCATAATTTTTAACCTAGAGACCACAAAATTTGACACAGCTCAGCTAGGTTCTTTTCCTAACTAACAAACTAGTTTGTTTATTTCTGATTTTATTGACACTTTTATCCGAGGCTCGACAAGAAGGGTATCAAAATTACCTAAATTGTCTACACTACAGTACCATGTGTCCGGACAGGTATGTACATGACGTGATTAATTCAGATGCTTGGGTATTTTGATTTTTTATTTGTAACATGATATACAATATGTCAGCAACAAATGCTGAAGTTTTGGATATTCTATTATTCACTCTGCAAATGATTATAGCTGGTATATGAGGTCAGGCATTGCCTTCTTTACCCCCAAATTACAACGTCACTATTCTTGAAATAGACATTAAATATTACAATTTGAAATAAATTTATTTACTTAATTTTAAAATAAACATGCACTTATTGTTGATAAACTAGAACTCCGCGAGTCGGATGTGTCGCCTTGTGAACAATGTAGTTTAGGAGAAATGGCCAGGACAAAAATGAAATTTGAAAACCAACAAAGGGCAATAACTCAAAAAAAAAACAAGAGGGCCATGATGGCCCTGAGGTCGCTCACCTGTATATAGGCCCCATTAGAACATGTTTCATGCTAAATATCTTAGCTCTAGCTCTTTGGGTTCTTTAAAAGAAGATTTTTTAAGTTTTTACTATATGCATATAGGGAAAATCAATGACCCCCTGGGGCGGGGCCAATTTTGACCCCAGGGCTTTTATTTGAACAAACTTGGTAGACACTCATTAGAAGATGTTTCATGCTAAATATCTTAGCTCTAGCTCTTTGGGTTCTTTAAAAGAAGATTTTTTAAGTTTTACTATATGCATATAGGGAAAAACTATGACCCCCTGGGTCAGGGTCAATTTTGACCCCAGGGCTTTTATTTGAACAAACTTGGTAGACATTCACTAGTAGATGTTTCATGCTAAATATCTAAGCTCTAGCTCTTATGGTTCTTTAAAAGAAGATTTTTTAAGTTTTTAATATATGCATATAGGGAAAATCAATGACCCCCGGGGCGGGGCCAATTTTGACCTCAGGGCTTTAATTTGAACAAACTTGGTAGACACTCACTAGAAGATGTTTGATGCTTAATATCTTAGCTCTAGCTCTTTGGGTTCTTTAAAAGAAGATTTTTTAAGTTTTTACTATATGCATATAGGGAAAATCAATGACCCCCTGGGGCGGGGCCAATTTTGACCCCAGGGCTTTTATTTGAACAAACTTGGTAGACATTCACTAGAAGATGTTTCATGCTAAATATCTAAGCTCTAGCTCTTACGGTTCTTTAAGAGAAGATTTTTTAAGTTTTTACTATATGCATAAAGGGAAAATCATGACCCCCAGGGGCGGGGCCAATTTTGACCCCAGGGCTTTTATTTGGACAAACTTGGTAGACACTCACTAGAAGATGTTTCATGCCCAATATTTTAGCTCTAGCTCTTTGGGTTCTTTAAAAGAAGATTTTTTAAGTTTTTACTATATGCATATAGGGAAAATCAATGCCCCCCTGGGGCGGGACCAATTTTGACCCCAGGGATTTTATTTGAAAAACTTGGTAGACACTCACTAGAAGATGTTTCATGCCAAATATCTAAGCTCTAGCTCTTATGGTTTTTTAAAAGAAGATATTCAAAGTTTTTTCTTTTGGTTGCCATGGCAACCAGAGTTCTGCATGGAATTAAATTCTTTGAACAATTTTTAAAGGTGACCACCAAAGGAACATTCCTGTGAAGTTTGGATGAAATTGGCTCAGAGGTTTATGAGGAGATGTCATTTAAAGCAAAAGTTTACGGACGGACGGACGGACAGACCAAAATTTGATGTTTATGAGGCAATTGAGCTCATAAACACCACCTGGACCAACGTCCATAAGCAAAATAAGCTCATAAAAACAAAAAATAGCTCTTAATTTTAAATCTTATGAGTTTATGTTCTTTATTTAACTACGGAATGAAGCTCATATTAATCAAATGTTGGCTCGACGGACGGACGACGGATGGATGACGGACAATTTGTGACAGGTGAGCTAAAAATACAGAGCAGCAGTTTCTGTGCACGGCACTTCTTATTATTAAGATCTAACATCCTATTAAGTTTCATATCTAAAGCTTTTATAATTACTGAGAAATGGCCTGGACAAAAATAAAGTATGAAAATAAACAAAGGACAATAACTCAAAAAAAAGAAATGCAGAGCACCTGTTCTTGGGAACTGCACTTCTTCTTAATGAAATCTATCATCCTATGAAGTTTCAAGTCCATAGTTTTTTTACTTTAGGAGAAATGGCCCGTACAAAAATGAAGTATGAAATTTAACAAAGGGCAATAACTCAAAAAATAGGAAGTGCAGAGTACCGGTTCTTATGCACTGCACCAGTCATTATAAGAAGCATTCATACTAAGTTTGAAGTCAATCCAACTTATAATGACTGACTTATGCTCCGGACAAGCTTAAGGGGATGCCGATGCTGACACCGACAACGATGCCGACAATGACGCCGACGATGACAACGACGCCGCCGACAAAACTAATCCCTATATGTCGCCTTTTTCAAGGCGACACAAAAAGTGGCTGACAACCACTGAACAAAGAAAATTCTAAATTAAGCATTATCAGGGCCGTCCGGGTTTGGTGGTTGTCCGGTTTTGGTGGTCCCCAACCAGTATACTTAACAGTGACAATCACCAATCTTATAATGCAGGGAATTCCATAAGGAAACCTGGTTATAACATGACATTATTAAGCAAAGTTAAAACATAAATTAAGATTACCTTACACTGTCCATCAACACAGATTCTATTTTTGTCATGCATACATAGAGTTCCATCAACAACTTTGTCAGCCATTTTACGGAAAAACGGAAAACCGTTGGCAAAACACAGAAGTTCACAACTCTCCCCATCTGGAAGTTTAATATGATCATATATTTTATCAAAGATATATATTCAATATGAATATCTCATGCAGGCATTGACTCTATAAATATATAAATATAACTTCTTCTTTTGACATTGTTTATTTTGGTAGTTTAGAACTGGTTTTATAATTTATTTCATCATTATTAGGCTAATTTTTTCCATTATTCTGCAGCAGTAGTAAAGTATATTTGTGAGGAATAGAACCTGTCTCTCATAGTGAATTAAAACATCAATATAATACCAAAATTATTGAAATGTTTATATTTCAACATGTGGCATTTATTGGCAATGTAATTATTACAAAGATTTTACTGTACACTGCTAAAATTTGTTGCTTTTTTTGAATTTAGAGCAGTCCTTTGTTACTACATGTGTATGGAAATTTCCACATAATGTTAAGCTAGAACTGTGCAATAGTTTATAATTTAGTCCAAGATTGACCTGACTATTTTCTGCTCACGTAGGCAAGTCATTATTGCCACAAATTTTCTCAGAGTTTTTACATCAACCACCTAGCCTGCTAGTAGCAAATAGAGTCAACCCATGTGACCAGTGCAGACCATGAATAGTCCGCACAGCCATGCTATATGATCATGGTCTGCACTGGTTGCTATTCTATCAGCACTGGTACATATAATAAAAATTTCCTTAAAACTGATAAATGATTTTTGTTCACAGTGAAATATGGATAAGCTCATTTAAAGTTAGTATATAAATAATATACTAGTCAATGCTCTGTACATCCTTATTATATACATGAATAATATACAAAGAAATTACTAATCTGCCAAAAAAACGAACAATTCTATCATATACTCCTGATTATAATTCTGGGACATAGCTGAATATATTATATATCTCAAGGAAAAGTAGCATAAGTTGCTGTAGAATTATGCACAAAGAAAAAGAAAAAGGGGAGCAACTCTTGCAACATTTATACATATTTGTTACAGAGTTATCTCAAAAGTTCAAAGCAGGAAACCTCTAGAAAATATTATAAAGATATAAGCAGCAGCATGCAATGCAAAATAATTAATCATTAATAAAATTTAGGCTCTAAAGAAAACAGCAAAATAAATAATTAAACTGGAATTTAATTATCATTTCTTCATCAATATTTCAAAGCAAAGCAAAAAATACTTGCAGTGAAGGTAAAAATTCACAAGACATTAGAGTAAAAGATTGAAAATGATAAAAAGTTAGAAAATGTGAAGGAAAGGAAGCATATAAAGCTATTGTTAAGAAACAGCTTGTAAATTTTTTTTTCTCCAAAATTTACTTTTTATTTATGATAATTCCATCATGATCCCTTGTCGACAAGGGCTAAAAAATATTTAATGTTCAACAATGTATAAATACCATAAAAATAAAGTTATTATAAAGATTTTGAATTTAAGATGAATAAATCATTTTGCATTTGACAAACATATATTATTAGATTTTTGTTTTAACCTAATCTGAATTCATTTCAACTGAAGCCAATACAAAGTCCAATATTTTTTTTGCATTGGGTTGTAATCATATGTTTTCAATATAATGGTCATATTCATTGTTTGAGAAGGAATTATAACCCCTGAAAGCTTCAATTAAAGTCCTTATATTGGAACATCTATCCCTCTCATTATTTCAATTGACCATTTTCCTCTATATTTTAGGATATTGGTCTCATAGAACAACAACTTTCATAGGTTCATTTCTTGCCTATACTCTCAAAACGTTCAGTTTTGCAGTGGCCACTGTTGCCAATTTACCTATTCTCCATAGATACCAACGCATAACTTCAGTAATTTCAAGGCTAAGTTTATGGGTTTTTTTTAATGCACCTTTACCATATGTGTCAATACAGGTCCAATATAACATCCACAGCTTGGTGCGAAAGAGTCATAACTTCTTCTTTATTTAATGAGTTACAACCCTTTCGCACCAAGCCCTTGATATGTTACCTGTGAAATTATTTTGGCTGTGCACGGCACAAGTGCAGCTGATATATATGAGAAGAAAAGTCTAGCAGATTATGGTGATATTAAAACTAAAGTACAAAAACAGCATGGGTGTGGTAGTAAATATTTTAAAATATCAACCGTTCATCTTGTTATACAGAACAAACTTTAATGTTGCTTACTTTCACTAAAAAATAAATTTGAAGATATGTCACCCCATCCTGTCCACCCTGTAACAAATTATATCCTTTTAATTCTTTTTTAAATGCAATTTGATAAAAGTACTCCATAACTCAGTATTAAAACAAGATATGTTTGTAAAACATCTATGCCCAAATTAATCTTGTGGTAGACTTTTAACCTAGTGACCAAAAAATCAATAGGGGATATCTACTGGTCATGATTAGTCACAAGGTCACTGTAACTGTAAAGGTTGTGTGCAGCAATTTTACGACAAAGTAAGCACAAATTTTACCAAATAATATATGCATAAATTTTATGAATCATAGGCCTCCTAGGACAGCCAATTTGTTATATTACATTTGACCTTGAAATGTGTATACCAAATGCATTTTTAGTTTCATAAATAATATCAACCAAGGCAACTTGTGTTGTAGAGTTATTGGTCAGAAATTGTTTTTACATACAAGGTCAATGTATTGTAGACCTTTGACCCTGAAATCAATAGGAATTATCTACTGGCAAAGACCAATGCACATGTGAAGTTTGAAGGTAAAGGGCCCATGAGTTGTTGAGATATTGCTCAGAAAGGGTTTTACCTATAAGGTCAATCATGAACTCCGACCCCTTGACCCCAAAAAGACATTGAAGTCATCTTCTGAACAAACCAATGCATCTGTGATGTTTGAAAATCAAGGGTCCATGTGCTTTCCACTCATTGATAGAAAACTGTCTTGACATACAAGGTCAATGTGACCTTAACATTGACCCATTGATCCCAAAATCCAAAGGAGTCATCTTTTGGCCAAAGGCCAATGGCTTGTCAAGTTATTGATCGGAAACCATTTTTACCTACAAGGTCAATATGACCTTGAACTTTGACCCCTTTATTCCCAAAATCAATAGGGGTCATCTACTTGCCAAGACCAATGCACCTACAAAGTTTGGGGGCCAACAGTCTAAGGGTTATCAAGTTATTGATTGGAAACTGTTTTTACCTAAAAGGTCAATGACCTTGACCTTTGACTTCTTGACCCCAAAATCAATAAGGATCATTTACTGGTCATGAACAATCATCATACCAAGTTTGAAGTTCCTATGCCTAAGCGTTCTGTAGTTATTGATTGGAAACCATTTGGTCTAAGGACAGGCAAACCAACTGACCGACAGACAAATGCAAAGCAATATACCCCCATTTCTTTGAAAGGGGGCAAAATAAATATGTTATTCTTGATGAAAAGACAAATTTGCAATAAACAGATAATTTAGATAAAGGTACTGGTTGCAGAGATAACCATCACAGAGATAACCCCGTCACTTGGTTCATTCAACTGTTTTGGGGTTTTTTAAAATATACAACATGAGCAAAAATTATTACATTCAGATTAATGGTACAGACAATTTGAAACAGACTATACCTCTAGTTTGTCAGTCTAAATATAGATATTATCCTGAACTCAGCAAATGTGGGTTTTTCTCAATTCTTATGTGGGGGTTGGGGGGTGGGGGTGAATGCAAACAAATTTTATTGTAATACCTCCATGGAGCAATAAAATTAACAATATCAATATGCTGCCCTTTTTATCAATTTATTTACCAAGTCGTCACTGTAAAAAAAATTTGTACTATGGGATTCGGTGTAAATACCCACACTTTCTGAGTTCCACAGAGTTTCTCTATTATATGTGTGTGTGTTAGTTTCAGATGTCTGTTGATACAAAGATAAAATCAAACAGCATGCAACTAAAGAGCCACCTGACTCTTGAAAGACTTTTTTTACTGTCAACATTGATATGAAGAATAAACGCACAGGCAGTACTTACGTCCATAATATGGCTTCCATTTATAAAAAGCGCCATCTAGTGGCTGAGAGTTGTATTTCTGGCACTGCTCCCCACGGAAATCCTCAACATCCCCATCACAGTCCTGTAAAATAAAATATTCTTATATAATCAATAGTCACAGAGAAATTTTGTCTTTCTTGAGGATCAAATCTGGGAGCTGGTGGGGGCAGGGGGGCTAGGTTTCAAGTCATACCAACACTTCTGTAGATCAGACTTTCTTATTTCACAGGTGGAATCAAACATCAGATTTCCTTCAGTTCATTAATTTTAGACATCAAAGTAGAACCACCAAATCACCATAAGCTACCTAGTCATATCGTAATGACACAGGTTTTCCTGCTTTAAAATTATTGTACCATTTCTACAATATTTTTTGCAAAAGCGAAATTAATCATTTAATTTAGTGTAATAATCCAGATAATATTATGTGCAAGTAATCAGACAGTTAACCTTGACATCCTCATATTAATGTCTACAATATTAATATAAAATTATCAAAGTTTGATCAACAAGTTTATTAGACTGGCACATTTCAGTAATATTCACACTTAATAATTCATATCAGATATATTATTAAATTTGGAGTACTAAACGCTAGGTCTGTGATATATATTTGGTGGTCAGACCTGTTCAATTATTGTTTACCCATTTGCTTGATTAAATGCCAACTTTAGAATGTAACAATGTCAGACTGACTGTCATCTGCATGAATATTTTATAAGATATTAATATACTTTCCTGTCAGTTTGTGACACAGTCTACATATTCTGTACATGTCACTTATGAACAAGAAAAAAAGTAAAAGTCAGCCTAATGTCTCACAATGACATCATCTTAAGCTCAAAACTTATAAAAGAGGTTAGTTGATGTCATTCTTAACAATGGGAATTTCATCATTCTAAAGCAAGGGAATGATGTTATTCTAACAGAGGGGGAAATGGTGTCATTCTTATGCAAGGGAAATGATGTCATTCTAATGCAAGGGAATGATGTCATTTTAAAGTGGGAGAATGATGTCATTTTAAAGTGGGAGAATGATGTCATTCTAAAGTGGTGATATGATGTCATTCTAAAAAGAGAAATTATGATGGCATTACTAAGAAGGGAAATGATGTCATTCTAAAGAGGGGTAAATGTGATGTCATTCTGAAGAGGGGGAAATGATGTCATTTTAAAGCTGGGGAAATGATGTTATTCTAAAAAAGGGGAAATGATGTCATTCTAAAGAGGGGTAAATATGATGTCATTCTGAAGAGGGGGAAATGATGTCATTCTAAAGAGGGGAAATGATGTCATTCTGAAGAGGGGGATGATGTCATTTTAAAGCTGGGGAAATGACGTTATTCTAAAAAGGGGTAATAATGTCATACTCAAAGGGGAAATGAGGTCAATCTAAAATGGAGAAAGGATGTCATTCTAAAGAGGGGGAAAATAATGTCATTCTAAAAAGGGGGGAAATTCATTTCTTCTGGTAGTTTAATATACAAATCTTATCACGCATGCAGAAGATTATGAGCCGGACACAATTTATATTATTTTTTCAAAGGGCAACACTATATGTGCCACAGTTTTATGGCATGGGCATAGAAATGTACCCTCACTTGGATGTAAGGACACCTTACACAATGAATAAAAAAAATTAATATACCTGAGTATTACATAGTTTGTATGTTCGATTCTTTCCCTTGCAAACTGGCCTGAAATTATATAAAGATAACATTATAGTATAATTATTGTTATAGCATTATTGTTTTATAAAGTTAAGTAAAATAAAAAAAGAGTCAAAGGTATAAATCTCAACATTCATTTAAGATTAGCTTCAAAATTTAGTAAAAATGAGCTCTGATAAACTACAAGCAATAATCATAGTATTGCAAGCAATCCATAAGTCCCCTACCGGTTAGAACCCCATCAACATTCTGAAGGGCCATTGGCCATTCACTAATGTTTCAATTTTTCTCTATTTTAAGTAAATTTGTTGGAAAAGTTCTTTAAAAAGTGATCACAGGAAACAGTTTTTATGAACAGACAGACAGACGGACTGAAGGACACTCTAAAGTAAATATTTGAAACATCCCTGTTACCAAAATATAACATTTTAAAAGCAAAATTAGTAAAGAGGAGATAACTCTTGAATTAAAGATGCAATTTCATAAAAATGTTCAGCTCCTTTTGACTAATCACAAATATTTGCCATGTTTTAAGCCCATTGTTGCCAAGGCAACCAATATATTTTTCAAAATAGGCAGAACAGATAAGACATGCATAATCTCAAGACTGCCATCTACCCATATGTCAAGTTTCATAAAAATATTTCCAGTACTTTTTGAGTTATCACTGGATTCAGTTTATGTTTAAAGTTTGCCATATTTTTAGTCTGTGTTGCAATAGCAACCAGAATTTTAAACATAAGAAGAAAAGAAAAAGACATCCATAATTTCCAGACTGCCATCTACCCATATAACAAGTTCCATAAAAATATTTTTATCACTTTTTGCGTTAACACTTGATCCAGTTTATGTGTAAAATTTGTCATATTTTCAGTCTATTTGTTGCCATAGCAACCAGAATTTTCAACATAGGAAGAAAAGAAAAAGACGTGCATAATCTCCAGTCTGCCATCTACCCATATGTCAAGTTTTATAAAAATATTTCCAGTACTTTGTGTGTTATCACTGGATCCAGTTTATGTGTAAATTTTGCCATATTTTCAGCCTATTTGTTTCCATAGCAACCAGAATTTTCAACATAAGAAGAAAAGAATCTCCATACTGCCATCTATCCATATATCAAGTTTCATAAAAATATTTTCAGTACTTTTCAAGTTATCGCGGGATCCAGTTTTGTGGACGGACGGACTGACGGACTGACAGACAGACAGACAGACAGACGGACGAACAGACGGAAGTAAGGTAAACCTAAAGTCCCCTCCAGTAAACCGGTAGGGGACTTATAACCTCAAAGACTGGAATCATATGCAATAAAGTTGGACTAATGATATTAGGTATCTGACTGCAATAATGCCTATAGACTATTATAATAATGAAATCACTTTTATTCACAACAAAATATACCACACATGTAATACATTATATTTTCAATTAAAACAAAAGTTCAATGAAAGCACTAACCAAGGTAGGTATAAAAAGATATAACTAAATGAGGTATTTTATAAACATTTAAAGAGACCGCTATATCTTTTTTTTTACTTAGAACAACTTTTTTCACTTTCAATACCTCTCTACTTTTTTGGCAATATCTTATGCAGTTGTAAATCATTTTATCACCAACATACTGACAGAAAGTCATGCCTTATGTTTCAAGATAGAAACAAACAATACATGTCATAAATCTAAGCTGGAAAAAAAGAACATAAATCAAACCATATTGCTCTACCATGCAGAATGACCCATGTAAATATTTCTCTTATTTGCAAATGATTTAATGTAAATTAAGATAAATTGCATGTAATCTTTTCAATGACATGCAAAACAACATCTATTTCAGCAATTTTCTTATCACATTACATACACATTAAAATTACAACATTTACTTCATTGTTTTTTGCATAGTGTACACTTTCATATTATTTTTCATGACAGCAGATTTTAAGTCTAACAGAAGCTGTGAAAATGGGAACAATATACTGGAAAATACAAGTGACAGATGCTTTAAAAGCAAGCTACTCTTTCCTATGTACTACTAAACAGCCACCTTATTTACTTTTCTAAACTTGTAAAGACAAGATCTAAATGGCAGGGTTAATTTTGATCCAAGAAGTGTATCTTTGTAACCTTAATGGAGCTCCACTGAAAAATTTATGAAACAACTGGCCCATTTTGACCAGAAAAATACAAAAAGGTAATAAAGAAATATTCTCAAAAAAAATAAAATGGATATTCTAAGACAATTCTTGGTCTAATTTTAATTTCAAGACCATCAACTGTTTTTTCATTTATTTTTTAGGTCATCTTTTACATTAAAAATGATGAAATGGAATGTCAGCAAGTAACCTTAATATGAAAAAAAAATCCACAAGCCAATAACCTAAGCTTTAGGACTTCACATTCTTCAGCAGAAGACAGAGTTTGTTTTTTATAATTTTTGTTGTTTTGTGGGTTTTTTTCTTGTTGCCATGATAACCAAAGTTCTGAAGGGTATGTACAAGTTTTTAGTTAAAAAATTGATCCTTTATGATAGTTTGCCATTGCTGTATTATTGCTCTCTGTTGACATTTTAATCAAGTAAAAACTGAACAAGAGCTGTCCGTAAGACAGCGCGCTCGACTTTTTTAGTGCTTGCCTATAATACAAAACATTGACAGTTAAGGGCCATAATTCAAATAAAATCTTTGACAGAATTACCTTCTCCTGGACATGTTTGGGAATCATGATTGTAAACAAGTATTCCAACTTTCAAATTAATATCTCAAACAGTTCAGTCAAAAAGTGGACTGGTACTAAAAACTTAACCAAGATTCTAAGTCGATAAAAGGCCTTAATTTTTAAAACAAATCCTTGACAGAGTTACCTTCTCTTGCGTACAGATGGGGTAATGATGTGAAATAGCATTAAAAGTTTCAAAGCAATATCTCAAAGGGTTAAGGCAATAAGTGGATTTTACCCATATTCAATGTATATTTCTAAGTCAAAAAGGGGCATAATTCTGTCAAAAACCTTGTCTGTTGATGAAGGTCGTGATGGTAAACAAGTATGGTCAGTTTCAAAGCAATACCTCCAATGGTTTTGAAATAAAGTGAGGTGGTACAAAAAACTTAACCAAGCTCAATACACTTTCTAAGTCAAAAAAGGGCCATAATTCTGTCCAAAACCTTGACAGAGTTATGTACTCTTGTCTGTAGATGGAGGTTATGATGGTGAACAAGTATGGTAAGTTTCAAAGCCATACTTGTAATACTTCTGAAATAAAGTGGGGTGGTACGAAAAACTTAACCAAGGTGTGACGCCAACGCTAACGCTAACGCTAACGCCGACGCCGACGCCGACGCCGGGGCGAGTAGGATAGCTCCCCTTTTCATAGAAAAGTCGAGCTAAAAATCAATTTGAATAGTCATTAGCGATGTTTTTAAATGATATGCTTTTATTCTTAAACATGTTATTCTGTATTACTTGTAAAACTCTGAAATTTTGCTGACTGGATTTAGTAAAAAATGCAAGCACAGCAAAAGTGACATTCCATGTTTAAACCAGATAATGCAGTTTTTTGATAAAATCACATACTGGGCAAGTTGAAATTTAAATTTTATTATAAAAGACGGTGTACAAATTCTTTATAAAAGCAGCATATTCATGTCAATATGTTATCTCTATATATGATATTATGCAATTTACAAAAGATGAATTTCATACCACCGGATGAAAAGAAGGGTGTCGAATTTACATTAGATACCGTGCATAAATCTATCTCCTCTTAACCTTTTCAACACTTTATAATACAATAATGTATTTTAAATCTTCAAAGCATTTTTCATCACTTTTAAATTTCATTTGCACAACAATGACATCTCACTGTCAATTACCTATCTACATTATCTGCTAGTCAATTATACCCCTTTAATATACATTTTGTAAAATAAATTACCCCCACTCTGATATCATTGAGTTTTAAAATCTCAAATTTTTAAAAGGAAGGCTTTGACATATTGAAGGAACAAAATGGATTCAATTCCACTCATTCAAACTACTTACTTGCTAATTTACTTCTGAAAATAGAACTTTCATGTTGAAACTCCATAGATATACATCTAATTAACATTGGTTCAAATAAACGTGTATCATTACTAAATCAATGTTTGGTTTTAATTAAACCATGAAATTTTACTTTCTTCATATATCAGCCTTGTCATGACAAAACCAACATAGTGCGTTTGCGACCAGCATGGATCCTGACCAGCCTGCGCGTCCGCGCAGTCTGATCAGGATCCATGCTGTTCACTATCAGTTTCTCTACTTGTTATAGGGTTTGTAAGCGAACAGCATGGATCCTGATCAGACTGCGCAGATGCGCAGACTGGTCTGGATCCATGCTGGTCGCAAACCCATTATGCTGGTTTTGTCATGACAAGGCTCAAATATATGATTAGCCCTTCACTTGCTATACGTATTACAAGGTTTCAAAAGCGCAACAGTCTATTCAAATTTCTATATTTGTGGCATCAAGGTTAGTTAAATGTTAAAACAAAATTGGATGAGATTACTGGTAATACATGGCAGAGTAGGGCCGGAAAGGTGATGAATCAGCCCACAAAATGAATAATGTCCCCCAAGGGTATTATACATTTCAAGGGCGTTAAAAGCCACATTATCACTTTCTACCCTGTCTATGATGTGTTATGATAAATGTGTTTGTTTTTTTTTGTTTTTTTTTTAAAATTACTTTGATATTTCTTTTCGTTGAAATTCCTGTCCTGTACAATTACATCTACAGAGTTGCTTTCCTTATAATTGTGTACACAAAGTACACTTAACTCAAGAAGCAATTTTTCTTTTCATTTTCTTGGAATGAATTTATGGTATTTTTTCTTTAAAAGATAAAGGCAGTCTGCTGGTGCATGTGTAGCTTAACAGGCGCTCCCTTAACTTTTCATAAATTACTCACAAAGAATTCCGAATTTAAGATAAATAAAATGTTAAGCACTTTTCAAAATTCAACATTTTGAAAAAGTATGCAAACTGAA